AGTGGCCATCTAAGATACAGCTATTGGTCTCTTACAGTGCAGAGCAAAGGAGAGTGAAAAAAACCAAAGACTCAAGGGAGCAAACAGTCCAAAGAATTAATGAACTACGTGAATCACAGCCTACATGACACCAAGACCAGAAGAACTAGATGATGCCCTGCTATCGTTACTGTCCGCTCTGACTGGGATCATAACACAGGGTCCCAGAAAGAGCAGGAGAAAAATTGTAGAACAAAAAATCAAATTCACAAAAGAGACCAGACTTACTGGTCTGAGAGTGGAGAAACCCCTGAGACTACGGCCCTAAGACACCCTTCCCAACTAGGGCTGAAGCCATTCCCAGAGACCACCTTTCTGTCAAACCATAGACAGGCCCATAAAATAAAAAATAACACTTGAGAAGAACGTGCTCCTTAGAACAATCAATTATACGAAATCAAAAGGGCAACATTTGCCCAAAAGCAAAGGTAAGAAGGCAGGAAAGGGTAGAAAATCTGGACAAAGGAAACAGGGAACCTAAGATGGAAATGGGGAGAGTGCTGACACATTGTGGGGAATGATACAAATGTCATGGAACACTTTATGTACAAACTATCAAATGGGAAACTAATTTGCTCTGTAACCTTTCACCTAATGCACAGTAAAAGTTTAAAAAAATACTCAATTTGAAGAAAAGCTATCTCTATATCAATCTCCTGGAATTTCTCTAAGACTTTATTTTCTTTGAAGGAAAACTCCCTGTTAAATCATGTAGGAAGTAGCTGAAAGCATGAGATGAAGTGAGATAGCAACAGGCTAAACCTTATTTTTAAATACCATTTTCTAACATATCGAACAAATCAACGAAATTTTTAACAAGTGTTCATTTATTCAGCATTCAAACTCAATCACTTTTAATGTTACTCACCATACTAGATTTCTATTCTGATAACACTAGCAAAAGGGAGTTGTGATTTGAGGGGCATTTGCGTACACCTGTATAGTCTATAATTTCGCTATGAATGAGTTTACTTTGTCAGAAGATGCCAAAGAAAGCCCTATAATCTCCAGGCCTCTAAACTCTAAAAAAGCCAGGAGTTCAAAGAATATTTGACAGAATATTTTACAAACACACTTTCCTCATAAGCTTCTTTTTAAAATTACTTAAAATGTAACTTGAAGTCCCTACAAAATCTCAGGACAAAGGTGAAATATGTAATGAAGTTTAATTAAGTTTTACTGTATTTATATGCTGATAGTTTTGTATATCAGCATATTTTTACATTTCTTCCCTAGAATTTATGGAAAATATTGACAATACTAATAAAATATCAGCTAGCAAGTATTAAGCATTTAGTATGACCCAGGTATTGTAATAAGCTTTACATGTATTACCTCACTTCATTTTTCACAATAACACTATGAAGTATCTCTATTTTACGTATGAAGAAATTGAGGCACAAAGGAGTTAAGAAACTTGCCCAAGGTCACATCATAGTAAATGGTGGATCTGGAATAAAAGTTCAGGAACTGAAACTCTAGAGCCCATGTATTATCTATTACCATCTTTTTGTCATCTTAGCAATTTAACAACTGAAATTAAAGCTGTATGAAGAATTTTCAGATCATCTAAAACACATTTTCAAGTTTAAATTGTGACTCAGAGATAGTATTTTATGGTAGTGGTTAACTCTCCAAATTGTGGTTTCTTCCAGAGATGAATGCCAAGAAAATTGAGTTTGAACAATTTCTGCCCATGATGCAATCTATTTCCAACAACAAGGACCAGGGCACCTATGAAGACTTTGTTGAGGGTCTGCGTGTTTTTGACAAGGAAGGCAATGGCACAGTCATGGGTGCTGAACTCCGCCATGTTTTAGCCACACTGGGTAAAGAGAATAATTTAAGTTAATAAAGCACAGAACGTACTGAAAGAGCGTAACTTAAGAGAAACATGTTATAATCAAAATGGGTAGGGGAAAGACTACAAAAGAAAAATGAAGAAAAGAATAGTCAAAAGGTAATGAGCATTTCAATTAGCCTCAGTGACAATGAGTTTGGTCTTCAAAAATGGGAACTTAAAATACTGGTAGTGAAAAAATAAAGCAAAACAATTAAGTTTTTAAAGCATATATTTTGGATAATCAGGGATAACGTGCATTTAACTCACGTATTTAAAAACAATTTATTGACAAACTATTAAGTGCCAGAAGAATAGAAAGGGCACGTTTCCTAACCTCCAAGAGCTTAGTCTCTACATGTGTTGAAGGGGCCCATGACGATCACTTATGGTGGAATTTTAAAAGTATCCTCTGGTCTTCTTTCTGAACAAAATGTTTTGTTTCATCAGGTGAAAAGATGAAAGAGGAGGAAGTGGACGCCCTGATGGCAGGTCAAGAAGACTCCAATGGCTGCATCAACTATGAAGGTACAGTCTCATGTGCTCTGGTGGTTATAGCAACTCTTAACAGTTTGTGTTAATGATGGAAATTTTGAGTTTAAGATAATTTCTTTTCCTTTTCCTCCCTTATTAAACATACATATGTTATTCATTATCAATCAGTTGCATGATTACTCTCAAAAGGTTACCTCTGAGGCTATATGCAAGATTTATTCCAGTGTGCTTGAGCACTGACTGTGCATTGTTTTACACCTTGAAGTGTGTTTTCACATGTATTCTCCTGTTAGATCTTCACAATGTCCCTGCGAGAAAACAGGACTTGTGTAAGAATCAAATGTAATAGACTATTAAGGCTGGGAGAGATCTCAAAGTCTTTTATTAATACCAAGCAATTATGAAAATGAGGAAACAGAGGGTCAAAGAGGTTAAGTTACTTAGTGAAGGTCAAATCATTAATGGCAGAGCTGGTGCTAAAATTTAGTTCTTCTTTTTGCCTAGTGTTCTTGCTTAAATGAAAGTCATCTTAGAGTGACCAATTATCTATTTCTTGCTACCAATTTATACCAGCTTCACCTCAAGCGCCTGAAAAGCAATGCACTGCACAAAATAAAGATGCAAAATAAAATTTGAAAATGTAAAACTTTTCAATAAAATTGGAAGTCATCTATCCCCAAAGAAGACTAATCTAGTCACATTTCAATAAAGCTATGTTGATAGCCATCATATAATATCAACTGATAAAATCCCACAACTTAGAAAAGGAAGGGAAGTGAAGAGAAAAGAAGGGAAAAGAAGACTACTCAGCCAAGAATATCTTCGCTGACAATCTTAATTAAACTTCACTTTTTTTCTGAAAATATTTTTTTGCATTCTGTTATTACCATAAAAACATTACGAAAAAAGAAGAAACATTCAATAAATATTGTTTGAACAAGTGGATAATCAGCTAAAAAATATAGTCATAATTGAATCTTACACCAGGACAGGTGGGCCAGAAATTAAATGTAAAAGAATAAAAAGCATAAAACCCATGGAAGAATTATTTTGTAACTTTGGAGCTGTAAAATTTTCTAACTCTAACACAAAACCCAGAAGGCATTTT